GAATGTTACTGAAAATCGGTTTTAGAATGTAAAACCCAGAGTTAGCGTATTAAAATCTCTCAGCCTTTGAAAGTTCACTTTTGCAATCTTTTAATGAAGGCTTTCAATAACAGTGGAATTTATTTACAAAGCAATGGAGGATCATCTGATGAATTTCACAACATTAAAATTTAATGACTCGTGTCGGCCTACAAAAATAGCGTTGCTATAAATAAGGAAAACAAAACGATTGAAAGAAGGTACGTAGGCCAAGATAGTGTGGCCTTTCTGTCTCTTTTTGTGGTATAGAAGTGGCTTGACTTCGTTTACACAACGTTATTGTACTGCCAGGGCGACCTAAATGGGAGCAGCCTATCTGGGGTCCTCTGGAATAAAAGTCATGCAAATTTCCAGCATCAGACCACGATCTGACCAATAATCTGTTGAACAGTTGTGACATCTTTTCTGTCCTGGTACATTCCCCCATCTCATAACTTTGTATCGCCCCATTCAAAAGCACAACTCATAGCTTGTTTATTTTCACCCACTCCGGATATGCCTTAGTGAGTAGTTTTAATGAGGCATATTCACTCCCCCATAGGTTTCCTCATCCCCTCCCAATGCGCTGGAAATTTTCGTCTGGAATATACCTCATCAAAGTCCTATCAGTCTCCTTTGTAACCTGGAAGATGCGTCTCTAATCTCGTTTAAGTGATTTCACAAGATCATTGCTGCTGTATCCATGCTACTCGAGGCGTTATTTCTCGTGATCTACTCCTAGCATTTGATAGCACGTATAATGTAACTTCACCGAGCAGATCTTAAAGGGCTGGATTCTCAGACTGGACGTAACCATGGCTTTCCTTATTTCAGCTTAGCCTGAGCACCAAGTAGCTTGACGAGCTAACTCTATAATCAAGCCCATGTGCTGTGAGCCAAATGTATTTCTTTTAAACCGCATTTCTTGAGTAAAGTTCTGATTTAGCTGTTCTTGCACTTCCATTCAAAACGCCAAATCTATGACTTGCATATTCTCTAGCATATTCTAACTCCCTGAATGTTGCAGCTATTCACTTGGTTTGACTTGGCACGTAGTTGACATCTCAGGATTTCTGATTTTCACTCAGGAGCCTCTAGCCTACGATTCCTTCCTTGCTCGTTCAAACTACATCCCTAACTTAGTCGTCTCTTTTTTTCTCATCTTGCTGCTCCCTGATCTCCTCCGAGTCTGCTTAAGCAATACGCTCGATTTTTGTTAATTTTGCCTTTTTGCAGTCTCCTGCTCATTACATTTATTTAAGTCAGGAAACCGATGACTCCTTTATACTTGCCTTTCCTTATATTTTCACTGTACGAACCAGCCTTTCTACTGACTCCCAGTCGATGACGTGTCCCAGCAGTGGAGTGTTTTCTGCTATTTCATGTCCTTCCGTATCCGTATTTCAGATGAGTCTGATGCTCCTTGAATCGTAAGCTGTTTTTTGCAGTTTAAGCAATATACTTCTGCTCACAGTTACTGCGTACTGTGCCAGAAACTTCCAACAATGCAAGGTATGAAGATCAGGATGCTGCAGCCTTTTGTATGATCGCAGAACATTGTAATTTGCTCGTCTTTTGTGTATTTCGCTGACAAGCCTGTAAAATTTTTTCTTCCCCTTCGTGATCATTTAGATATCCCACCTTAAGATCAGTTGCAGTTCTTGACTCAATTTCCAGAAAGGCAGGTATATCCACTTTTGATCGCCTTTCTCATTCCTGATTTTCTATATTCAAATTGGCATTTGCTCTTTACTACCCTCTTATATATGATTTCTATGGCGTATTCCTTGATTAAAAAATTCGGTTGGTTTCTTTAATTCTTCTCGCTTAGCCTTAAGCTCCTAATTTCAATCTTCATCTTTATTTCTAATAAGACTAGCATTGAGATATAGCTAAGAATGGCAGGGTAAAGCGACGATAGCGATTGCCACACCAGCGAAACGCTTATGAATGTACCAATTGTATGGTCCGACAACGGAAATTATTATAACAACTATAAAAGAGGGCTCCGGAGAAAATTTGATCATAATGGTCTTCCTGAAAATACTAGCAAGTTGTGAAAACAGGGTCAAGCCACACCAGCAACCTAGTGAGAAACCAATATTTAAAGGTAAAATAAGTATAGCATAAAAATGAGAGGTCCTGTTAAAGTGATTCAGAAGAAGAGATCCTGTATAAGGAAACTCAGAAAATGCTGCTGGGTGCAATCGGAAAAAAGAGCATGTGGCGAGGGATATTGATAATTCAACCATTGATAAGAGATTAGTAAACATATGTGGGTTAAAAATAAAGTATATATGTATATATATAAATGGATCAAAGGATGAAATATCCGAAAATTATCTCAAAAGAAGCATGAAAATTACATTAATTTAAACTGATAAACTAACCACAGCATTTTTATCGACGGTTGCTGTTGGGTGAATGTAAACATGACCAATGATAATTGGGCCACCTCTTGCATCTCCATCACCGAAAAGGCCCCCATTTATATCATCTAAACAGTTGTATGTGGATTCCGCATTGTGGGCTGATTTAGCCATTTCTACTAGCTGGAAAAGACCAACCGAACTTGGCACTGTCATTTTAGCCAGGCGTTGTGGACGCTTGCGTTCATAGAGAGCTAGCATATGGCGATTGGCGTATATCACCGCACTTTATGGACCAGATACGAAAGAAAAAGCAGATAAAAAGAACTGTAACGGAAATCCCACATGCACGTGATAAAAGTCCATTCACTTTCAAAAAAATAGGCGAAGATATAGAGCATGACAATAAAAATAGAAGAGAAGGCCAATATGTCAAAGCAAAATAAAAATACCAATATTTTTTAAAATCACAGATCCATAAATGATTTTACAGGGATTGAAATTTATAGTCAGGTAACTAGATGAAATAAATAAAAGCCTTAAAAGATAGTGAGTGCATAAGATAGCTAGAATCAAGTAGCATTAAAGTTATGAAGATATTAAAGTAAAACTCCAATAATCAAGATATAAGAGGAAATCATCTTAAGTTATTGTGAAGAGATATATTCACCCTATTTCGTTTAAGATGATAAAGGACTAGTAGTAGTAGAGCCGACGTTTACATTGAGTTTCACATAGCCTTACTTTCTCAAAAGTTATTCTCACCCATGGTGGACTGCAGTTTTGACCTCGCTTAGGTCTTATCAATAGCCCCAGTGGGAGTCGAACCGTAACAGTGCAAAATGTGAGCCTGACACATTAACCACTTAGCCGTATCGCCACAGGGCAGATGTTAATTTCAAGGCCAGATTTTTTTCATATCAAATTACTTGGTGGGATTGTCGATTAAACAAACGTATATTTGTTATAACAATAGACTACAAAGCAAAAATATGCTTGCTTTATCGATAATCCCACTAAATAATTTGATATGAAAAAAACCTGGCCATCCTTGGAATTCACATCTGACCTGCGACATAACGGCACTCGTGGTGATCTGGCTGAATGGTTAACGTGTCAGGCTCATATTCTGCACTATCACAAATCGACTCCCGCCGGGGGTGTTGATAAGACCTAGGCGAGGTCAAAACTGCAGTCCACTCTAGATAAGAACAACTTTTTTGAAAATTAATTAAAAAACGTCAGCTCCACTCATAAAATTGTGGGAAAATTCTACTGCCAGTCCTTCATCACCTTAAACGAAATAGGGTGAATAAATCTCATATAATTGATTTACTGGTAGTCTCAAAACTGTTTATATTGTGAATGGAATTAACTGGTCAAGCTTTAAAGAAACACTATTAGCTTATGATTGTCATGAGATTACGCAAGTAGAACTCTTGGGAAATGTAATACATAAATTAATCTCCGTTCTCAAAGTAGAATGAGTTGACAGAGTGCCTTCAGATCATAATTAAGGTATTGACCAAATATCTAAGTAAAACCAATAAAGTGACTCCCTCCTGAGATGAAATAATACTAGGTGGGATAAATAAAAAGCAGAAGCCATGACCCAGAAGCTCTGAAAACGGCATCAGGAAGCAGTGGTGAAGCTGAGCATGCCTCATTAAATCTACCTAAGAATGAAACGAGGGCACCGAATGTTGTGAATAGGTAAATGGGTTGTCATAGGGAGTGGAGATGGAAGAGATACAGCACTAGAAACAGGAAAAAAATACAGGCGAGGGGGATTGTCTTCACTTGTCACTTTCATAAGCTGTAGCTGTGCTAAGGATGCACAGTCCATGTACACCAAGATTTCAGGAGAAAAAGCACTTGGGGCACTACTGGAGATTTTTGAAAAGGAGACGAAATCTAAGAGACAGAGCGAATCCAAAAAGAGTCTCTTACACGATTAATCAGCCTATGAATAAGAAATATCCATTTTAAATTCAACTGCCACATCCATGAAGAAATATTTGGTTGGCCTATGGGTTTACTAATCTAATTTCTTCTAGCTAATGCCTACATTAACAAGTTGGAGGATAATTTTAAAATGTCACCTCAGCCGCAGACAGTAATTATGCGATATTTGCACCTTGGTTGCATGGAAAAGAAAAATTGGACGATTTGCTTATCTTTCTTAACGACATGAATTAAAAAGTCAAATTTACAATTAACGTAGGAGATAACTGACACTTACTTTTCTTGGACGAGGAAGCCATTCGCTACAAATAAACCATAAATAAACATGTATTCCAAAAAAAATCACATGCAGGAATAATCCTTATTTTGAATCTCACCACTCTTACTAAGTGAAGATTGATATAATAAGAAATATGATTCTAAGAAGCCTACGAGGACTGTTTCTAAGTTCTGCGATGATTAAGTCGAAAAAAATAGATAAAATATTTTTTGCAAAAGGATAGCCAAAGGAATAAATATGGCGAAATATACGGTTCGTAATGAACAGATGGCAGAACGAAGATTATGAAAGGAAAGCAAGGTGGACAGTGGAAAAACGATATGTCTACTCTCCTGCGAACTGGCTAGAAAGTTGCGGGCGCTACTACAGAAATAGAATATTCGTAAAATCCTGAAAGAAAGGAAACCATCTTAACCAACTCGCCTAAATAACATGGAAAAGTCAGCAAAATGGAGTGCTCTGGAGTTTACATGACAAGGACTGTAAACATCGAAGAGACTGGAAAGACAATCAGCATAAGGATCAAAGAACCCCAACGACTATGTAGAAAAATTGATACGGAAAGATGGTAGTTGAACACACCGCCCAGACCGGCCACACAATTGACTGAGGTGCAATGGATGGACGGGCCTTATATAAGGAGAACACCAAAAACAGGAAGACCAGAGGCCAAGAACATCGCCTTTTAAAGGAACCTGATGAAAAGGTTGGAAGAGGAATGAATCAGCGAGGACAGCTAAAAGAAAAGAAAGAGATGCATCACTAAATATTAGGGAAAAAATGAGCGAGTGATGCCACAATAGTTAAATTGTCAAGGGAATTGTCCTCATTTGTCACTTTAATATGTTGCCTCTTAATGACGATCCTGGTGAAACGTCTGGGAATATACTAAGTCAACGGTCTGATGATGGGATCACCATGAATGCGATAGCAGAGGAGATAGGACTAGGTATGTTCCACAAGGTCTCCCTGTCGTTCCGACCAAGTTATGAGAACCAATTCAAACCAAAATTATATTGGTTAGGACTAATGAATAGTTTCTGCATCAATATATAGACGTATAAAGAAAGAAACCGACCCTGTCAGAAGCAAACTATACAACTCTAAAGAGGACAATATCATTTGAAGAACATTTATCTAAAATGAAAGACTAATACTTCACTAAACCCTCTATGATAATCGGTTAACAGTCCTTAACTATGCGGTTACTCAGTGTTATGTTTCCCAGCTATTAGGATGGTGCCGCTCACCAGTATTTACCAGTTGCGACTGGTTTCTTATCGAAATGCTAACGATTCTGTCCAAGATAAATAAGAGGATTATATTTTTGCATTGAATTTCACTTCTCCCACTATCCTAAAGGGTCGTCATAATCAAAATGGATTGCAGTTTCAACCTTGCCTAGGTCACATCAGCAATCAATGCAGGATTTGAGTATTAAAAGTGTGGGCTGGGATAAATACGCTAAGCTATAAGGGGATTGTTTATCGGAAAGTGTGTATTTACGGTTGTTGAAGAACCCTTAATTTTAACAACTCAACTAAATGAGTAAAATTATCAGAGAATCTAATCCCTTCTGATCTCTTGTTCATCAGAAGTGGCTTGAACCCGTTTACGGAACTTGGTTTTGTTGTCAGAACGGCCTATATAAGGGCTCCTTATCTGGAGTACTCGGACATAGTAGTCAAGATAATTACCAGCGTCAGTCCACGATTTGACCAATATTATGCTAAATAGAAGTTGCTTTACCCTGTTTTCGCAACCTGGTCATATTGGTGAAAGAGTTAGAGGAACGTACCTAGTACGGAATCCATTGTCTGCATGATCATTTCCAAATTTGAACAGTAGACGTGGTACATTCCCAAACGTTTCGCCGACATCTTCAGTGAGTATCTCCATTCTTAGCACCATACAACAAGTGAAGCCGATCCTTTGACCAAACGTGTGCTAAACATTTATGCTATCTCCCCTTCCACCCTGGGTTTTTCGCGTTTCTAGTAGCATCCTATCATGCCTTCACTATTACAATTTTCACCCTGTTTATTTAGATATAGTGTGCTGTGCTCCTTTGAGCGACATGAAACTTTAATACTCCAACTGTCGTTCTCACCCCTCTTCATCCTTTTGCAAGGAATGTTGATCAGTCTGCTTTATTATTATGTAGTCCTCTTTCCTAGTCTTATCCCAGCCTCTCTCTTGCTCCGTAAAATCCGTCTGCTATACCCCTAGTTCCCCTATTCCACTCGACTCCTGCCACTACATCTGTCCTACTCTAGCCGTTATTCGTCCCCTACCCCTGCGTCTGGTTGACTAATTCGAGGCGCAAGCCTCTGAGTGTCATGGTCACCCCTTTGCTAGTTAGCTGACGGTAGGTCAGTTGTACCAGGAGGCAGAAGTCGAGTGAAATAGGTGAACAAGGGGTAGATCAGACGGATTTTACGGAGCGAGAGATGGGATAAGACTAGGAAAGAGGACTGCATAATAATAAAGCAGACTCTAATCAACATTCCCTGCACAAGGATCAAGGGGGATGAGAACGACAGTTGGAGTATTAAGGTTTCATATCGCTCGAAGGAGCACACCACAATATATCTAAATAAACACGGTAAAAATTGTAATAGTGAAGGCATGATAGGATGCTACCAGAAACGCGAAAAATCCAGGGCGGAAGGGGAGATAGCATAATTGTTTAGCACACGTTTGGTCAAAGGATCAACTTCACCTGCCTTTTTTGACGAATTGTTGTATGGCGCTAAGAATGGCGATACTCACTGACGATGCCGACTACAATGCCGGCAAAATATTTGGAATGTACCACGTCCACGGCTCAACTTTGCAAATGATCATGCAGACAATGGACTCCGGACTAGATGCGTGCCTCTAAGTCTTCCTACCAATATGACCATATTGCGAAAACAAAGTCAAACAACTTTTATACAACGAAAAGAGACTGCAACCACACAAAAGGCCACACCAGCTTGATCTTCATACCTTCGGTTATACTAAATAGTTGTCA